ATTGTCATTTTGATGAAATGACTTTCCCAACTTTGGGAGGAGAAAAACTACATCCTTAAAAACAAGGTAGAATTCCTTGGAATGAAACAACTCTATCTCACTTTGATCCCCGCAGCAATCAATGTGAACAAGAGGTTGAAAAAATAATTCATTTGCAAAGAGTTACAATTCAACTACCTGATATATTTGTTGACACGAGAAAAGTGAGAAAGTCATATATTCCAGCAGAAAATATTCCAGCAAAAATTAATGTCCCTACAGGACAATCTGCTGTGGCAAATGAATCTCAAATACGCCAAAACCATCGTCGACCAGTTGGTTCACAAGACTCTGTACCTCGAAAAAGAAGAGTACGGGAGAAAAACCAACCAAAAACTTCCGAAGAAATCACATTAAAAAAGATTGATCAATCAAATATTGAATGTACGGTTCCTGAAGAACCAGATGTGTCCGAAAATAATGAGATCTCAATAAATTATATGATATCTCATAAATTATGGGAAGAAAATAATATTGTTATAGACAATATTTTCACCTTTAACATGGCTCTTGATATTATGCAAAATGAGGATCCCGAACCACAGTCTATTAATGACTGTCGAAATAGAAATGATTGGCCAAAATGGAAAGAAACCATACAGGCAGAATTGAATTCTTTGGAGAAATGAAAAGTGTTTGGACTAGTAGTTCGAACACCTGAAAATGTAATCCCTGTTGGATACAATGGGTTTTTGTACGAAAGAGAAATGAGAATAATGAAATTACAAGATACAAAACCCGACTAGTGGCTCAAGGTTTCTCCCAAAGACCAGGAATTGATTATGAGGAAACATATTCTTCTGTAATGGATACCATCACTTTTAGGTTCTTAATTAGTTTGACCGTGTCACAAAGGCTCGATATGCGCCTTATGGATGTAGTAACTGCCTACCTATATGGTTCACTTGACAGTGACATATATATGAAAGTCCCTGAAGGATTTAAGATGTCAGGAATAAATGATACATGTCTGAGAACTATGTTCTCAATTAAATTGCAAAAATCATTATATGGATTGAAACAAT